ACTGGGCAGATTGAGCCTGCAGAAGGGAAGACCGAGGGGGATTGAACAGCAGCCTTCACCTCCTGGCAGGGGGGCTGCAAAGAGGATGGAGCTGGGCTGGTCTCAGTTGGGGCACATGACAGCACAAGGAGCAATGGGCTCAAGCTGCAGCAAGGGGAGTTAAGGTTAGGAACGAGGAGGGTGGTGCAATCTCCATGCTTGGAGGTGTTAAAGACCCGGGTAGACAAAGCCTTGGCTGGGACGGTGTAGCTGGGCCTGGGCCTGTGTGGAGCAGGGGGTTGGACTAGATGTGACCTCCCGAGGTCCCTTCAACCCTCCTTGTCTGACTCTGAGGGAAGCGCCTGCTCTCTCTCGGTGCAGATTACGTGGACACATGGCTTGAAGTTGCAGCCAAGGAGGTTTAGGTTGGATCTCAGGAAACACGTCTTTGGTGCCAGAGCAGGGAGACTGGGGGAGAGATGCAGGGACGGGGGGGACTGTCCACACTGGAGCCGTTCAAGGAGAGGCTGGACAGGCGCTGGGATGGTCTGGGCACAGCGATGCCCATTTTCTAGCATGGGGATTCCCAGGTTTCTGCACTGTGCTGGTTGCCCCCTTTCTGCTCTATGCCTCGGGGCGTATTTAAGCCTCCCCCAGAGGCACGGGCACGTGCTGCGCCAATGCTGCTGCTGGCACCAACCCCGCAGGGTCCTGGCTGGAGGGTCTCGTCCCCACACTTAGGCTCAGACTGACACCACCTGGGCGTTGGGGGGGGGGGGGGTTACCCCAGCTCAGACTGGGCCAGGCTGAGTGGGTTGCCTTCCTCCACCGTGGGGACGCGGCCTCAGCCTGGGCTCTGCGCTGCATAACAACATCCTGTGCAGCGGCGGGACGCTGGCTGCTGTTTTACCCGGGGTAGGTCTGGGTGTAAAGTCCGGCATGCGTCAGGACTGACTGCAGCTTTACAGAGCTTAGATGCAGGTTGGCCCCCGGCTGGTTTGCACAGGGCGGATCCTGCCTGGGGCAGGGGCTGAACTAGACACAACCGCGGCTGCTCCTGCCAGCCCCCGGCTCTGGGGCCCCTGCGACAAGGTGGCCCCGGGCGGGTCTGGCTGAGGAGGGGGCGCTGAAGGCCCCTGGTGCCGGTGGCAGGGGGTCCGTGCCCCATGCTCGGTGCTGATGCCACTGGGCAGGCCCCGGCTGCAATGCGCCTGCCCGCTCCCTGCCATGGCCTGCTCAGGGCACCGGGAGCCCCGAGACCCGGCTGATCCGGGCACAGCTTGGCAGGCTTTGGGTGCGCTTGGCTGGCACCCAGATTAGCCCTGCTGCCCCCCAGGACCTGTGCGCCGCCCCCGTAACCCCGCCGCCGCCGCCATCTCTTGCAGGACACGAGGTTCTCGGACTGGCTGGCACCTGACGGCGAGGCCGGCCCCGCAGCCCTGGTGGGTCCCAGTGCCTTCAAGATCCCCTTCCTCATCCGCCAGAAGATCATCAGCAGCCTGGATGCCCCCTGCGCCCGCGGAGCCGACTGGCGGACCCTGGCCCAGAAACTCAACCTAGACAGGTAGGAGGCAGCGGGGACTGCCGGGCCAGGGACCCCCACCCTGCCCAGCCCTGCACCTTGGGGTGGGGGTTCCTGCAGCCCTCCTTGAGCATGGGACCCCGGGCACGGCCCCAGGGTGGAGCTGGCTGCATCCTGCGCCCCAGCGGGTCGGCCCCAGCCCCGCTGACCCCGCTCTCTCCGCAGCCATCTCAGCTTCTTCGCCTTGAAGCCCAGCCCCACGGCCATGATCCTGAACCTGTGGGAGGCGCGGCACTTCCCCAGCGGCAACCTGGCGCAGCTGGCAGCCGCGGTGGCCGAGGTGGGCAAGCAGGACAGCAGCCTCTTCGCCGTGTCGGAGGCCGAGTGCTGAGTGCGGGCCGGCGGGTGCTGTACAGCCCCTTCCCCGGCGCGGGTCGGCCCAGCACACGCGCCAGCCGGGGCAGGGCGGGGAGGGGGCTGCCCCAAAGCCACTAGCTCCGTCCCCGTCTGGGCCCTTCCTGCCCTGCCCCAGCCCTAGCCCTGGGGACCCTGGAGCCCAAGCCCAGCGCCCAAGTCTCCCCGGCGGCAGCAGAGCTCAGAAGCAGCGAGGAGCAGTGGGGGGGTTGGGGGGCGGGGGCCTGTGGG